TCGGGTTCAGGCAATGTCAGGGAAGAAAGCATCTTCATCAACAAGTCGTTGTTCACTCTTCGCAAGGTCATCTCTGCTCTTGTGGACGGCAGCCGCCAGAGCCACGTGCCCTACAGGGACTCCAAGCTGACATGCCTGCTGAAGGGCTCCCTGGGCGGCTCATCCCTGACGTTGATGATTGCATGCCTCGCTCCTGGAGACGCCAATTACGACGAGAATCTGAGCACGCTGGATTATGCAAGCAAAGCAAGGAGCATCACAAACAAGGTTGGTCACGACGATTCTTTTCTTTTCCGCCAGAACCTCGAGATCTCGCTACTGCAATGCAGGGATCCTGCTACCTGCAATCCGGTCCACATCGCGTGCCTTGCTGTGGTGCGTCGCACCGCCTTCATCGCAATTCATATGCCCGTGCCACAGCACCGTGCAGAATGTTCGCTCGTGTGTGCGGAAAGCCTTGTCGTCTGGGGCAGCGATGGCTCTTTTTTTTGGTGGCACCGTTGGGAGGCGAATTTGGCCGTATTAGGAGCTAGATGTTTGACAGTGCGCCAGGGAAGCGTTCATAAACTGGTTAAAATTCAACCTGGACTGGGAAAGCGTTTTGTTCATGACTGGCTCCAAAGGCATCAGATGATACCTTGGTGACATCGTGAGCTTCGCTGTCCCTACCTCATCATACTCATTACCTACTTCATGCTGTCCTGCCAGGGGTTTCCAAACATCAGCCGCTATGTTTCCTCAGATGATTATCGTTGTGCTTTTGCCCAGGTTCATGTTAATGAAGACCCCAAGACTCGCCAGATCAGGCAGCTCCGTCAGCAAATAGAATTGCTCCGGAGCGAATTGTCAAAGGCACGGCCGGTTTACATACCAGATAGCGTGTCTCTGGAAGGTCGGTACACCGTCCATCGCTCTCCATACACCGTTCCCTGCAAACAGGCAATACCGCTACTGTCCACGCGGCACAAAACCTCACAGACTAGTTGTCAGTAGTACTACATCAAATATAACAAATCACTGTCTTTCACCTATTGGCCAGTGCTGGATTGCTGCAAAGAAGAACACAACCCGGATACCACGCCTTGTCCACCACCCTGAACCAGTGTTGTACATGAAAACTGGCGTAAGGTATTGTTGACTTCTGCTTGCGAAAGATGGCAATTCCCTCATCGGTGTGCACTTTTCTATCCAATGCACAGTTGGATCGTCCTAAACCAGGAGGGATTTAGGTCCACGCCCAAATATTTGTGCTGGGCAGCTCAGGTATCCATGGCATCCGCCCTTGTGAAAATGTCATGGCGACTTCTCAAACCTTGGTCCACCTTGGTGCCCAGAACAGGCGCCGCCAATCAGACAACAGGTGCTTGTGAGGACCACAATCTAGAGGCAATAGTCGCGTGCAGCCTTGATGCGAATCGGAGCAACAAGGATGGTGTCCAGGCGCTGGGCCAAAAGTTAGTGGAGAGCGTCAACTGCCTCAAGCAGCTGATGGGCGACAACGAGAGTCTCCGCCATGCATACTCCGACCTCCTAGGGCGCAACAAGGCCATGATGATCGAGAATGATGCCCTCCGAATTGAGAACGCTGATGTCCGTGATAGGTGCGAATTTTCAAAGCCCCTCCAGGAAAAACTGGGGCGCGAGTATTCCTTCAGGGCAGAGAGTATCAATGCTGAGCGGAATACCATTTAATTGGCACGGTTGAGCTTGACGTCCTGTGAAAATGGCAATTCGCCAAAGTGTCAGACGCTTCGTGGGTGCGCCATTCACACCTTTGGGCACAAGTGAATGGCACAGTTTCCTGCCGGTACCAGTCACTTTGAGCATAGGCGCAATCATCGCCGTCCATGTTGTCAAGATTGTTGTACCTGATGTGGTATGCCGCTCTACCAGCTGCACAAGGGATGATTACAGCTGTGGAATAAAGCCCACTTGTTACGTAGTCCTGTCACACGTCCCAAGTGCAGCTGCAACAGGATGCCCACATAGTCATTGGTGCCATTTGCTCCGGTAGTTTGCCAAAACCCATTAGATCTCATCTGTTCATGAGCCATACGCATAGAAGCCAATTTTCATCCCACCCATGTCACAATGATAATCACAGTGATATGACTTACCAAACAGCCAGATAACTGCATGAGACAGTAGTTCAGCACCTCATGGGCTGCACTGTGGAACTTCAGTAGTTTGTTCAACTCAGACAATGAGCATCTACCGACGGAGGTGCACAAGGAACGCCACCAGTTTCAATTGTCAGTGCACCTGACAGCCTAACGACACTTGGTTCTGCAATGTGCAGGCTGGGATTCCTTGAAAGCATCATTACCGATTCACCAAAAGAGTCATGCACTGAAGCAGAAGCTGGAACATTGAGAAAAGGGAGTGGAGGGAGGTCAGGGGCAGCGAAAGCAAGACCACTGGGACAAGGAAAGACTACAAGAATGGATGGATGGATAGCTAGGGTAGCCTCAATGGGTCCCGATGGCATTCAGGAGCCTCATGACAAGGTGTGTGGTCAGCAGCAGCATCAGTGGCAATGCGACCTTGACCCGATCTGCAGCAAGCGCTCTACATCGCTGCTGGTCCTGCTGGACTTTCTCAAGTGGATTGTTAACAAGGTGTCCCATCAGGTGTGCTGCATGTGCATTTTTCAGGCATGGTTGATCGCTGCCTGCATATGGAAATCAATCAACCACAGCTGAAAAGTGCCCATGTACAGTTTACGGTCCTCAGGCTACATAAGAGAATTTCCAGTGGTCTCCTGCCCAGGTTGGGTATGAACACACAGAGCCATATCCACAAACGGCAAGGTCTGCAAAACTTTGCACAGTGCCAGTTCTTCAAAATGAGGTGTGCCTTAGGCAGTGGATCACAACTTTCAGGAAGAAGAGCACCCTCAGGGGCACAGCAGTCCTGGTTGTCGAACAAAGTCTTCGGACCTGTACACACCCAACAAAGCTGCTTTCGTTGAGCTTGCTGAGCTCAGGCGGGAGAACGCTGCACTTCATCAAAGGATCAGGACACTGACAGCTCGTAGGGGGAATGCAAAGATGGCCGACAGTGCACCAGCTGGCAAGCTACGTGCCCGCCGTGCAACAGGTGGGCATGCCCCTGCAAACACAGGTCGAACGCAAACCATTGACCTGAAATATGCAGCACAGCAGCAGTGTTTGCGAACACACTCTGGGGAAATGCCCATTGGGACAATAACGTGCTGTAAATGACGCTGGGGCTCAAAAAAGAAGACCCATCCACGAGTTCGCTAGTGTGAATCGGTGTACATGGAGAAAACGAATGCACTTTGGATGCAGTGGAAATGTTCAGCTCCGGGATACAAAGCATGCTGCACATTGCAGTGTAAGTTCTTCTGAACGTGCATCCAGCACAGTTAGGAAGTGCCCAGCTGGAGCTGCTGCAGCATTTTGAGCCCCACTGAAGGACACCCATGAAACCTATGCCCAACAAGAGGAACTGTGAATGTGAATTCTGCTGAAGCAGTAAATTGTGCAAGGATGAATTCATTGGCTCAGCACACGATCGCTCAGCATGAATGCAGGATCAGCTTACAACAACAAAGAACCTGGCACACAAAATGCAAAAATGTGCACAGCAGGCAATGGTATTGGATGCCAATCGTCTCAAAATATGCCAGCACTTGGTGAGCTGCTCAATCATCTTCTGTAACTCACGACTGGATTGTGCATAGAAACAGCTGTGGTTGGTTCCCAACGGCAACCTCAACAACTACCCTTCCCATATACTCAGAAGACTACCCCTCCACCAGTGTCACACTCCAATTCTGGTACATCCAGCCCCTCCAACTCGATCCTGCCCATCCGAATAAGCACAACGGGGCAACTGCTACCCACTGCTGCCATACTCGAGGCACAGGCATTGAGTGACAAGGAAGATGTTGGCACACCTAACTGGACCACAGCATCTCCAAACAGTGACGATGGCATAGTCAATCGGCTTTCCAGCATCCTGGAGGCTAGGAAATCGCTCAGCATGTCGTGCACGTCCCTAAACAGCTGGTAATATTGAATGATGGAAGGATGTCACACTGGCAGAGCCACAGGATTTTGCCACATGGCTCTAATGAGACTGCAGGAAGATCGAGTGGAGTGCTGTTCTTGGCAGAGGTGCATGTATTCCCAGACGATCCACTGGCCAACGCTGAAAATTCTGAGGATCCCCTTCAATTCGATCGAATGAAGGGGCGTTTGTTGGGGAACGGCGAGTAGGCTAAGCTACCAGCACTGGACGAGGAGGATAAACATGACAGCATGGAAAGATGTAAAACATGGTTCTCTGCGATTTGGCAGCCAAGAAGTCCACCAGACATGCAATTGTATTGCATCTTGAAGTGCTGGGTCTGTTAGAGGACCATGTGCAACATTCAACTGCTGGGGTCAATGAACAGTATGACTGCAAGCACACGGTTGTGTTTTGGTAAATTGACCACCATGGCTGCAGTGCATTGGCAGGTTTCAAATATGGAGCACACACCTCACACAGGTGTATCCAGCTATTGGCACCACCAGTGAATGAATTTTGAGCTCACAAATTCCTGTGCATCTGATTTACTGCAGATGCCAATAGCCTGGTCAGCTGAATAACCACCTGTCAGATGCTAGGCATGAGAAAACAGCCATATCGCAAAACTATCCCAGTTCTTGAGTAATTGGCTCAATCCAGATTCAAAACCATTGCCCACTAAAAACAGCACAAACAATATGAGCTGTGGGCATGAAGTACGTAGCCAACAACACAGGTTGCTGGAATGTGCTGAATGCAGCAAGCTGGCTGAGAGGAACATGCACCAGCAGCCTTCGGGCCAAATAGCAATAACAAGAACACCAAAATTCAGTGGCTTTGCTACACAACGACTAACATGAGCCTTGTTCCAGTTCACCACACCATCCCAGGCTTGCCACCCAACTGCACGACCAGCTTCCAGAGAACCCAGTGCACGTCTTCCCCATGATGGCCAAGATCTATCAATAAACATAAGGAATGAAACGGTACGGAACAATTGAGCAGTACTTCTTCCAGTCGCTTCCATACTTTAGCTGGCAATTCTGCCCATCTCGTATGTCACGGTGCACTGTGGGCACAAAAGAACGTGGGTCATTGGCTTGCCTGGCAGGCTGTGAGAATATGTACAAGCCCTGTTCATGGGAGCTCTCATGTTTTGTGCTGGTTATTGATTTTCAAGTTGACTCTCAATGCGTTGCAGCACTGCTCCATTTCACATCAACAAATACAGCAGAAGGACAAGGTGAGGGTAGAAGTTTGCCAACGCATTCGCCTCTGGTTCAGTATTCTGCAATCCCACAACACCAGGATGAAAAGGGCACATTGTGTAGGTTGCATCTGTCCATGCAGCTCAAGACCATTCCACAATAAGTGGCAGGCAGTTTGGGATTGTGATTTCTATACTTAGCTCTCCCAAAATGGTGAAGAAAGGCTGCTCCTTTATTAACATATCAGTCATTCTATTCTATGGGCAGCAGTCCTTTGCAATGTTTTGATTCTGCACTAGCGAATATGATGTATGGAAATATCCCAAAATACAGCAAATGGACACTTGCTGGTAGATTACCCTCAACATACCTAACAAAGTGGCAAAATACACGGCGTAGAAGTATGGCACAATGGAGGAAAATCCACAAGCCATGCACCATGCAAGCCTGCACAAAAGGCACACAACATAATAAAGCACCGAAAATAGAGAAACTGGGATGGAGGAATATGGGATATTGGTGTGGGGTAGGGACAGCTTGCTGCCAGCACCTGTGCCAGCAGTGCACATGGGTGAAGAACAAGAGCCTCCTGTGACCAAATTCTGGACTTCAAACCCAGTTTCAGTCTAAGTTAGACTGGTCCCTCTTAAAAAGGGATTAGACATTAATAGTACTGCATTGCACCACCACCAAATACAGTAGAACATGTACATCTAGATCGTCTCAGCAAGCTTTTTGGCTGCTGATGGCACAGACAGAGCTGACCATGCATGCTGCACTGCATTGATTCTGACATATTCACAACCATTACAAAATAATCTAGAAATCTGTCAAAGATCGAGACAATGAGGACAGGAGCTGTTCATCCACTTGCAAGATTCAAGAGGCTGGAAATTTCATCACAGGAAGCACAGCACATGTTTCTGGAGCCACCATTCTGAACCATTTCATCAAACGTACAAAACAAGACGAATTACGACATCTTTGATTTGGAAGGGTACCCTGAAGTGCTCACTTTCTATGACACTGAGTTCTTGCCCTTTTAATTTTGTTATAAATACTCTTTGGGGCCCTATATCGCCTTGCGCTGTCCTGCTGACAGAACATGCAGGTCTTAAATCGGGAGGGAAGCAGCACCTGCAGTTTTCACAGTGATACAACCTTGGGACTGCAAGAAACACAACGCTCACCCCATGAGCCAGTCCCCTGTGTAATTGATGTGTCGCGCAGTGCCCCACCAGCTGGACACTATCAATTGGCGTCCGCTTTCTGTTTTGAGAGTCTTCAGATGCCGCACAGAGGGCCCTTGTGGGTCACGTCGGAACTGATCCTTTTGTGAGTTTGCTCCGCGAAACGCAGCATAGCCAAGCACGTTCAGAGCCATCACCAATGCAGAATAGGTGAGTGACAGGTCCTGCACCCACAAACAACCTAACAAATGGTAACATAGCCAATGCATTTGCCAGTACAAAAACACCAGCGGTTACATCTGCACAATGAGCACTTCAGGGAATCAGCATCTAACATGCACAAGCAAGCTGAAGGCACATAAAACAAGCAGCACTTGGGGACATTTTCCACTGCGTAGCTCCAGCACTTTGCCATCATGTGCTGCTGCACCTTGTCTGATTGATGTGACAGAGCAGACAAGGAATCTGTCTGTGGCGCTTGCCTGGATGGCTAGTCAGGATGCAGGGAAAAGCTGTTTGTCCGTCACAGTCAAGGCAGGACTCAAAACCACACAGTTGTATCTTCCATTTCCATCATTTGCTGCTTTTGAGGAGCAACTTGCACAAGCAAAGATCCACCTGGCAACACCAACTTTCTTGGGAAATTGCACACTGAATGGGTGTTTCTGCACCAGTCATCTCCTGCAAGGTGCAAGGGGATTGTTTATGACGGCCTTTAACCATTTTAGTCCACGGCAATTCACACCTGGCAACGCCAATCATCAACCAGAACATTTTCAATAGGAAATGCACATTGTCTGGAAATGAGCGGGTCCACCCCACTGGCAATCCCGACAGCTGTTGTTTGACTTGTTTTTGATGCACTGCTGATTGGCCACAAAAAAGAAAGCAGACAACAGTCAAAAGCAAGCAGGACATGAGGCCATCTCAGTATACCAGTCCTATATCATTTAAGAAAATTCATGTGGAACATTCCATTTCTCCCAAAAGCTTGAGTGCCAGCAAAACCCAATCTCGAGCATCTGACTGCATGGCCACCCACCACGTACATGGCGTCAAGTGGGCAGGCCCCATTGGCAATAGCAACAAGTAAGAGTTGGTGGCCAGCAGAAGAGGGCAGGAAACTGAACATGACAATCAGGTCCTAGATCTCTCCTGAAGTACTGTCTTCCATGCAACTGCCAAAATGACTGCGCATTGGTGCCAAAATGGATATTGAAATTGATGCCCGTGCCCACCTGTGGATTTGATGCCAGGTACCTTGCCTGTAGGGAGTATATGAAGGGAACCCAAGTAAGGTCTCCAAACACCAGCATGAACCCAAACCCATCGGTCGTTATGTCCATGGTAGTCAAGATAGACCTCTCGAACCACAGGCCATCAACCACGTACAGCAGCTGAAAGGCGTTCACCAGAACCATGGAGTTGGTCACTCGCCCGAGAACCTGCAGCTGCTTGTGGGCCATTGCAAGGTTTATGATCGCCCAGCCAATCAGACCTGGGTAGAGCTCACAGAACTCCTTGAGATCAAAGCTTCCAATCCTGGCATGACCACACAGAAGATAAGGTGTTCTGGTCCCGTTGGAGAATCGTGTACAGGGAATGTGCACAGCAGGCAGGCAGGTTGTTTGATGATTGGGAACTGCAGTGTCTGACACATTCGATGTTGTGGACATACTCAGAATTCACTTTTTGACAACACTTTTGGCAGCCTGTTTCCTTGATCTGTGGAACGAATACTGTGACGACAAGGGCATGGCAGGGTGCCATCACACCTGGGATTCAGCTCGGCCCCGATGAAGAAATCGTAAAAAAGGTGGCCTGTCTGCCCACCCGTTGCCAGCAGCGTCCCTTCACGTCTAGAGGCAATGTAAAGGGCGAGTGACAGAGCGAAGCTGAGCAAGATGGAAGTAGACAAGATGGACAGCCAGTGATCATGCACCCATGCCAGGTCCAAGTAAGGGGTGAAGAATGCCAAGTAGAAGATCGTGGGGTACACCAACATAAGAAGCCTGAAGCCTGCAGTCCAGATGCAGGGAGTCATGTGTGCACAAGTAGATTGCCAACTGTAGCTTGGACAAAACCAGTAAGGAATGTAGCAGATGTCCATGGTCCTCTGCACCACAGGAAGTGCAACAGTGCAATTCACAGCATTGCTGCTGAAGCAGCAGGGTTTCTATACACATGAAAAAAATCACTGAGCATGTGAACGATGCTGGTTGTTTCAAGGCAGGCAAAAGGGGAGGCGTGTCATGGGAACAATCTCAAATGCGAACTGCCAAGGTTGCTAATAGCGTCATCTAAGGGTCGATCAAGGCGTGCACGAAAACTTCTCCTTCGCCAGATTGTCCCCTCCCACCCCCAGTCTGCTTCCTGCGCTGAGGTGAACGCGCAAGGCCACACAGAACTCCCTATTCGCAACATTCGCCGCACCGTTCAATTTGTATGTGAGCCTCTTTCCAGAAGCTAGCACGGCCCCTTCGCAGATCTGACCGGGAAGCGCCACGTGCAGGCATGCCGTGACCGCCATCCAGCCGGCCAGGGCTGCGACAGTGCCCAGCGTGGGGCGCCATCCCTTAGCCACCGCACCCATGATCGTCGGCACGTCCGGCAGCCGTCCCAAAGCGGAGCCAACTGCGGCAGCGTAGCACACAAAGGGCAGGCCGAAGACGATGCCCAACGGCCCCAGCCAGGGCCCAAAGAACTCGAACTCGTGTTCCTTTGCCATGTCGATGCTCGCCAGAGCCCAACTGGGGCGTGCAACGCAATGCTCCTAACCGCGGAGTTTCTAATGGGCATGGTCTGACACTGTCTGAACAAATATCACTTCTCGCTATTTTCTGAACAAAATATTTGGTTTTATTCTTTTCTTTTTGATTTGCCTGTTTGAACGAATATACGATCCAAAAATCTCAGGACAAGGGGGGGAGCTTACTGCAGGCGAATGGTTGTGCACGACACACAGGACTGTCGGGTTCATGCGATCGAGCAAAACTGGTGCTTTCGCGTCGTTTGGGGTCAGGATACATCCCACCACCGTACAGGGTCACGCGGTCCAATGGCGACCCCCGAGTGGTTTACAATTGCAATGCCCCATACGTGACGCAGGCGGTCAACCAAAGGGAAACGAAAAGTTTCAATCCCATGCCCTTTGTGCTGGAAAAGATGCAGCCGTGATCTTGTCGAGCGACGCACTTGTGCAGATTTAGGAAATCTTATCGGTGTCCCGGCGGTGCTGTTCGGCTATCCGAATAGCACCGTACGTCAAAGAACCATCATTAGGCTCCAACGGTTGGGGAGCAATGCACCCCAATAGCACCGCCGATGCTATTCGGCACCGAGGAGTGCTATTCTGGGCCCGAATTGCACCGCTCGAGCCCAAATAGCACCCCAGAATAGCACACGGTGCTATTCGTGCAGAACACTGTACTGCTGCCGTGATGCTGCTCGGCGCAGGAATAACACCAACAGTTGCGGATGCGCACAGAGGAGCAATAGCACCGGTGCTATTCGGCAAATGCCGCCTTAGTAAGGTGGCGCGGTAGCCAATGAGAACCGTTCGTGGATAGCTACGCCGGTGCAACAGCACCGACCGATAAAGACGCTCTTATTAGGACGCCCATACTGTTCTGCCGGCCAGGCTGCAGCAAAGATTCGGCAAGAATGGCGGCCGCCGCGTGCGGTCGATGAGCGATATCGCTCCAGCGTCACGTTCTCGGCAATTGCTAATTATTACCCCCATTTTTGTCTGAAAGACAAACAATAGCTTCGAAAACACTGAACGTGACAGAAATAGAAAAACTGTCGCTGTGGCGGAGCATGATTGATCCCCACTGGGCCCCCTCTCGGGAGCGTTGGGCCTGCGTGGTCGACGGGCACAGAATTCGCCAGTCCCAACACCACGGACGCGCTGCCTGACACAAGGGGCGGCTGCAGCCCAAGCATGGAAACGGACGGAGCGCGGCAGGAGGGCGTGGATTGGACGAGAATGCCGCCGCACGCTCTGAGGCGGGTCGTCGCCATAAGCGGAAGGGGCACGGTGAGCCGCCACGAAGAGTGATCACTGAGGCCGCCGGCTGACCTAGATCGGCGCCAAGGGGCAAACGGCCGAAGTTACGTAGTCTGGTTATGGAAATTGGGGCGCCGACGAGCGCCTGACGAGGACGTCCATTGACAACCACAGCGAGCCATAAAAGCTTTCGATTGGAAGTTCCTGAGATGGACGCCACGTTTGTATGTCATGATGTGCTTCAGCGCGTCCCAAATCGCACGTGTTCTCCCCCCCTTTGCCCAGTGCCTGTGATTCGGGTGTGTGGCCTCCCTGGGAAGCCAAAAAAACGTGAATTGAGCCGATTCTCTTCCTTGATGTCCATGTTTTGTTGGCGTATTTTTCTTCATGTTAAAAATACAATCTTCGGATGCATTGTCTCACAGCTTCTGGCAACTGAGGAAGGTCTCCTCATATTGCCAGCCCTCACAAAAGGCACACAACAAACAGATCGCAGTCTGGGGCGACAAATTGGCATACCCGAATGCTGTGGAAAATTGCAGAAGATGGTTCCAGATCAATAACAAAAGTGGCTTGTCGCTGCTCCACTTGTGCGAGAGGCACTTTGCAGCAGTCACACTGTAGTCCATGCCTCCATGCCTTGGTGCAAGCAGAATCTATTTTGCACGCTGCATTTTCTGGACCACAAGGCTGTTGAACCGGACTGAATCTTCGTCAGGCTACCGATATCAGGTGGCAGCTCTGCGCCAATCCTGCTGGCATTTCTGCACGGCTGTGGGAGAAGCATGTCGCGAACTGGATCCACGAGTCTTCGATGGAAAGACAATCGGCTGCCGTTTTCCCTGTCTTGAACGTCTCAACATAAGCTGCTGTGGACAGGTGAGCAATTTTTCCCCACCTCCTGTTATATGCCGGCAGCGCCAAAGACTGCGGAGCTCTCTGAACATGCAAACGCAGTGGCTTGCACATTTGGGACCCCAAGGCGCCTTGCCTACAGTGGTCGACACCTGGTGCATAAAGATTTTTAGAGGTGCACTCAACTGAGCCGTTGGTCTGCTGCGCTCAAGCACGTGCTGCTATTGGGTCAAGTGCATCACAGGCTTGTTATAAGCATGGCAACACTGTAATACAACATGCTTCTCATATTGCAAAACAGTACAGTAATTCAATTGATTTACCATTTCCAGCCGTGACCTGCGATCAGTTTCTTCACAGTTTCTGCTATACTTCAGTGCTTGAGACTGCTGATATGCTGTCTCCAAATTCATTGGATCCTTGGGCTTCTGTGGCGTTTTGTCCCATACCTGCTTCTGTTGTTTGCTTCAGTGGTTGTGATCATGGTCACATCAACAGTCTTGGCTCCTATTACCCTGCTCAGCTGAGGATTGGATTATTGTGCTGGCCATCTCTGCCGGCACGCTGTCTGCTTGCCTGCTGTGACGGCACAGATTCTGAAATAAGTGTAACTGCACTCAGTTTGGAATGGGTTTCAGAAGATGTGGTCTGGTATGACTTGCATGTTGTGGCTTCCTGTTCAGGTGTTAGGCTCTGGCCTGTCCCATATTGGCAACCTTCGCCACCTCCACACACTTAACATAGGCTCGACAGTATTGTCGCTTGCATCAGTGAATGCACTTGCCTCATTTTGCGGAACGCTGACGAACCTGGACATACACGATGCCCGCAATGTGGACGACGATTGCATCGGGGAATTGTCAAAGCTTACCAAGCTCAAGGTCTTGAACATCAGCGGTCTCAGGGATGTCACAGACATTGGTAAGCCATGAGAGCGCTGGCCTGAAGGGCATGGCATGGCGCACTGCACCCTGAGAGTGATGCAACAAATTTTGCTACACTCTTGTATGGTTGCATGCTATAAGCATGGACATGTGTGCTGGTGTTGATGTCAGCACAAGATGCCGCATCAAATTTATGTGTCCAGGTGGTAAACCCCAAACAGAAGCGATGTGGGATTTCTGCCACCACACATGATAGTGCCAGGAGATGTAAAGCACCCGAAATTGTACATGTGAAGTGGATGTTGGTCTAAAGAAGACAAATTCGGCACTCTGAAGGGCAAATCGCAATGGCCTGATTATTTCAATAATATGACTTGAGAAATTCGATGCATTGATGCACATCACCTGGGAGTGTTGTTTCTCTGTCCGCTTGCCGGTGCACCTCAAAACTGGTCGACCACCTGGAAAACCATCCTTTTACTGGGATGATTGCATACACAGGGATTTGCATATTTCTCCTGTGAATGTTGCATCATTATGAAGACAGGAGTGCTGTTACACCATTGAAGAAATGAGGGACTCTTGTTGCAACTTACTATGGTATCTTGAAACCTATCTCCATTTTGACAAAAACCAACGAAAACGAGAATGCATGTGCATGACATCACCGAAAACTAGTACCCCAATTTGCTGGACAGTTTGTGGGAGGTGTGCACCCCGCAGATAGTTATGTTGCGAAAAGAGAGAATGTGACAAGGTGTACTGGCAGGGTCTGGCTCGCGTTCCGATGTGCAGACGCAATTGGGATCCAGTTGGTAGCAACATATTGGCTTCCTCTTCCCCTTGCCGGGGGAACTTGTTGCAAGGACAGAGGATACACACAAAACACACAAAGCACAATGTCACAATGTGTCTCATGCAGCTTTCTTTTGGCAGTTTGGTGCAAGCTGTGATCCATGTGCGCACTGTGGTTCAGCAGTACTGCATACTTTTTCTATCATGTGCTGTCGCATCCGTAGCAGACAGTGCTGCTGTTCCCTCAATATTTATCCTGCAAAGTGGCCTCTCCGGAAAAAAGCATTCCATGGGGGGCTTGGGGCTGGAAACAGTGAATCTGCAAGCAGTGATAGGTAAATTGCGGTTGCCTTGCATGCCAACAAATGTTGATTTGAGCGGGGATCAAAGTGGTTTTCCTACTGGCGTTGGCCTTTGTTGTACAGGCTTCTCTGCTCTCATCAGAACGCTTTCAAATCTGAGGAGGTTGGAGATGCAGTGGGCTGGAATAACTGATGATGCATTCCCTGCTCTTGTGAGTGCCATTCAAGATCACTGGGGCTCATTCCGTCTTAACTATCTGGTTGCCTGCCTTCTGGTCTTGTGTGGTTGTTCCTTCATATAATTGACTTCTGCATTTTTCGTGAAGTTCTGCCTTGGGGTCGGGGATGGGGGCGATCAAAGGAGACAAACGTTGACAAACGAATGGATGAATCATCAAACAAAAAATAAATAAGCGATAAGTACATAAATAAACTGACACAGTAACAGTAAGTTCATGCATTGATTCATTGATATAGACAGAGTGCTTTGGGAATTGAGTATCAACGAATGGCTGTTTCCTGGATGACATTAATTGCCGTCAAGATGATGCAGCTGAAATGGTGGCATTGATTGACAATGTCGGGAAAAGCAATTTCTAGCACCAATTCGGCTCTCTATGTCCAGCTATAAAATGCAAGGAGTCAAATGCAGTTTTTGGTGGTTTACTTGCAAACGAAATTACTAGTATGTGGTGCATTTGCATTCCTTGCGATGGGTCGCAGATCCACAAACTGCCGGTAGCAATCCCAGTTACAACAACAATAAATGGAAAGCGCAGCCAACACACGCACTGAAAGATGATACCTCCATGTAAGGGATACAATCAGGTTAAAAATGTGTTGACCACAGTATATTTTATTCCTCAGTTTGTTGACAACATCAAGTCCAGTATTGACACTAATATGAAGGAGCACTTCAGAGAGCACAGCACATCATGCGCATTATAGCGACCACATCTTTGCCAGGTTTTGGCAGCTGCAAGCTAGTGTTGCAGGCTCAAATTGGGGAAAAGGACTGCTGAACTGAACATTTCAGTGTAGGCTAGACAAGCTGCACCGCTGTGCAATCACAACTGCACGATTGTTGTGGCAGTTGCAGTTGCAGCCAATGCTGCACATCACGCCTAAGTCTCTAGCATTTTTACAGGCATTTGTAGCATCTGGCCAAGTGCACTTTTGTAGAATTTCTGTGCACCCATTCGCATAGTTTTCTCTGTGTATTTTGAAAGCATGAGAAGCTCTGTTGGTACTATGTTCCAGGCACTTGGCGCTACCCAGCTTGAGCACCTTGACATCAGCTTCAACCGACATCTGCTTGGACACAAATTCAGATCTCTTCAAATGCTCCCTACACTGAGACACTTATCCTTGGACAACAACCCTCACCTCACCGATGAAGCCATGATATGGATCGCAGGCATACAATCGCTTGAATCTTTGTCCCTAAACTGGGAACGTGAATTTGGAGAAGGTATGCAGACATATCGTGTTGAAGAGTGGTGTGTATGTATACCTTGCTGCATGGCTGCACAGCAGGCAATCCATTGGATTGCTTGGCAAGCGATCAAGGAGGAAAATGAGCAATCAGAGTGCTGTGTTGCTTGGGTTCAGAAGTGCTTCAAAGGCTATAGTTGCAATTCTGCACCAGATTGTGCCAACTAAATTTCAAGCGCAAACTGTACACCACATGTTTTAAGGGCAGACCTCCCAAGGGCACTCTGGTGTGACCTTCTTCTGAGGATAGGGCAGTCAGAAGCATGGCATTTGGTGATGGATTTTTTGCTGATGATACACGAGTCTTCAGTCTTTCAATGGTGTTGTCTGAAACGCAGTGAGCACAGTGCCAGCAGTGCATGTTATGCGAGATCCACCAGACAGGAATTAACTACACCGTTATCGCACATTTGCTGCAAAATGTGGGAAAACCTGAATTTGCATCTATCAGGGGCTGTTCAGCTCATTTGAGGACAACCATCGTACTTGAATATCCCAAGGCGCTTCCAACTGCAGCGCCCTTTTGAGCTCATGTGGGTTTGCTACTGTCTGTCTCCAGGCCTGTCTGCATTTTGCTCTTCCCACGGCCGCCCCCTCCACAGCCTTTCTATTCGAACAAGCAGTGTGCTGGATGCCGTGTGCGCCTTCAGCCTGTTGAAGCTAGAAGGCTTGACAGCCCTGCAGCTGCATGGCTTTGCATGGTCATCCAATGAGCTCCGAGCGATGTGCGAATGTAATGGCCTTGTTGGGCTCACCTTGCTGGAGATCAGCATGGGCAAGCAGCACGTATCTTCACAATCGGTGGACATGTCATGCATCACCACCTTCACTGCCCTCAAGCACCTCAGCCTCAACTGGTATTCCCTCAGCACCCTTGCAGCAGGAATGTTGCCCAAATTGGTCTTCAATCGTGTCATGGATAGTCAGGGCAGATGCGCAAATCAGGTCAACAGGGGATGGCCAGCACTATATGGCAACCAGCCAGCACTCAGGCATCTACAATAGGATACAACAGACCTGCCATGTTCTGGGTCAATCCTTTTTTATTCACAGGTCCAAGACCTGCAGTACTGGTCGTGTTCATCGACACAATCGTCGATGTTTCACTTGCCTGCAATATGTGGGCATACAGCACTTGGTTCCTATATTTTGGTGCAAGGCACCGTTTTTGCTACACGAACATGAACGCATCCAGAATATGTTGAGGTAGGTGTTGCATATGACGAGTGCCACAGAATTATGAGTTGGTGTTGGGGCTGTATGTGATTTATCATCTACCTTTAGTGGTGGACGTGCCCAAGTAGGCCACGTAGAATGTGAGGATCTACGTGTAGATTGTGGAGACGATTTGGGCTTGCATGATGCGATTACTACCATTCATTATTGCATTCAAAACTGTTCGTGCCCCGCATTGCCTAGGAGTCCTTGTGCTGCATTCGGTACAGAATGTTGGCGCAGAATGGAATCAGCCTAGGATGTTAGTTGGCGGCCGCACAGATTGCACTTTGTTGCCGCACAGGTGCTTATTTATGATTTGACGAATGCAGTCAAAGAAATTACAGTGAGCAATGTGCTGTTCCTTTCAAGGCGGCCGCGGTTGAAGTGGAGTTGGTTCAGTCTTGTGTTTTGGGCCTTGCTGAAGTTGCGCTGATTGGTCTGTGTCAGGTGCGGCGACCTCAAGGATGGCAATCTGAAGAAATTTGCAAGGAGCTTGACCTGTCTTCGCACGCTGTGTATTCCACAGAGCCCTTGTATCACCAACGTGGGCGTTGCCCACCTGTCTAGGCTGTCTGGCTTGGAGGTACTGGACCTGAGTCACAACAGGAAAATCAATAACCGAGGTAGGGGCACGCTCACCAGATATGCTGCCTGTTCTAAACGATTGCGACTTGGGCTGGAGCTGAGTTACATGGCTGGTAAATGTGCCTCAGCAACTTTCTGTGTGTTGGTGCAGGACCGTAGTTTGTGAGGTATTTTGTCAGTAGTGATTGGGAATGTCCAATTATTCTTGTGCTCTAAATGGAGGACGACAGCAATGCGGATTTGTGTCACAGTTGAACGGTTGAATATGCACCGTGCACATATGTTGCAGGCGAATCATAGGTGATGCAACCCCAACGCGCGGGCACATACAACATATGCTCAATCAAATTTGCCCTTCGTACGCTGGTGTAGCAACGCAATGGACGACTATGACTGAGTTCCGCCACTGCTTGTGGCTGCCCAGGCCTAAAAAAACTGTCAAGGACCACCTCCCTCCGCGATTTGAGCCTGAAGGGTCTGTACATCACTGACACGGCTCTTTTCGCCATGAAATCTCTGAAACGGCTGGAGAGGCTGGACGTGGGGGGCTGTTCCGACATCACTGCATGCGGGATCATGAGCCTGACGAGGCTTGAAAATCTAAAGGTGCTGAGCATGCAGTGGTGCAGCGGGCTCTCGAGATCCGAAGACCTGGAGTCACAGCTTCTGCGCAGGTCTCGATCAGTGGGGCTGGTGGTGGAAAGGGAGCCCGTTTTGCCAAACATGGATTTTCCGTCGGGAAGGTCCGTTTCAGATGAGAGCGTCGACTATGGATGATTCATTGTTCTCAGATCCCTGGAAACCATGTTCTTTGGGGAATGGTCCTGTGGCGAACAATGTGAGGTCAGAGGGGTGTATTCGCACGCTGTCTGCCGCACATACCCAATTTGGTTCACGAATTTGTGAATGCATTAGAGCAGTGTCGCGAGCGCTGGCCTTGATTTCTTGTATGTGGTGCTCCTCTGTGCACAAGTCTAGAATCCGCCAGTGATCAGCTAATTTAGCAGAATCTGCAAATCTTGGTTATTGTCAGGGACGTATTCAATATGTCAAGTATCCCAATTTGGGATATTTGTAAAGTTTCTCACTGTGAAAATCGTGGCGGACGGATCCAGAAATGTTTGTGCATTGCCTTTTCGAGGTTGAGCCGCAGGACTCTGCTTGTGATTTCGACCATCACGTGACGCGATTTCGGCGAGTCCACAGATACCTCATTTGCGTCCATGCTTTTGTGATGCCCAACCAATCACATCTGGGTGGATTACCAAAGGATGTTGTGGGCATTGTTAAGATGCACAGCCTTTGGCAACTGGTGGGCTCATTTTGCGAGCCAGAAGCGGTGACGATTGGCAGTGTACTTAGTTATATGGGTTGCACTGGACCTTAATGCGCGCTTGGTTGACTAGCAGAGGGGCAGAAGAGACACTTGTGAGTCGCCTTGAAATGTCCTTTGCAAAAGCTGGCCGTCTGACATGGCAGCTGCCCGGGAGAATGACTACGAAATGCCGAGCCTTCCCTTTCCTGCCTTCCTTCCAGCTCGATTTGATTTGCATCGAAGGAGACGAATCTGGGGACGTTCATCTCCTTTGCAAACACGTCGCCAGCGATTCCGCCACTCAAAACCCGGCGCAAACGGGCCTCCAGGCGTTGAACATGCAGGCTCAGGCAGATCTCCGGGCCTTGGATGAGAAACACGTGGGATGCCGCTCGATTTTCACAGAATCGCTTGGAAACCCATGCACTCGAACGGCGAGATTGTAATGGGCGCGCTCTGCCGAAATTCGAGCGTTGGAGACATCAAACTCTTGACTGTGAAGCCGACCTGGTCGGGCTGCACGCCATGGCCTATGTGCACGGGTCACACTCGCGGAGACTGCCAACATAGTGCTTGCAAAGTCACGGACGATGGTCTGTTCCGTTCAGCCCCTCCAGCACTGGGCATAGCACCATGCGGCCGGCACACAACGCTGCAGCCGCCCCCAAATTACCCTAGCCACGTCGAGAAGGGCAGTACAATCAAATTTTGGGCAACTTCTATCAGGTCAGGTCCAAACGTGGCAGTTTGCATCATTCGAACACTCCTTGCGCCTCATACGCTACGATTCGCATCACATATGAGCATGCTTCGGCAAACCTCACAGCGTGCTCTCCTAATCCTCACATAACCCCTTGCAACACTCAGGTGGCCATCACTTCCCTCATTCGTCACCTTTCCAGCACGCATGCAACAACAATCAAATCTGTGCCCCGACCTGAAAGATTCGCAGGAATATTCGTTCAAACCTACGGCTCCGCCTGCCCTTTCCCCCCACTGCAATGTGCTGCTCGAAAACAACGCTGTGACGTCACAGTCATGCCACAAATCAGCACAGCGTTCCTCTTCGATTGAATTAAAAGACTGATACACTCATCCAGCGCATCAGCGACAAAAAAGGCCTCTAATTTTTCATCACCAAATTCAAGATCAGATTTCTGACGCTTCTGTGCTCAACAGTTTGTATCCCTACTGGGATGCCAAGCCCCACGGAGAAACCTAAGCTACATCTACATGAGATAGAAAAGTAAAAAAGAAATAGCATCGCCTAGTCTGCGCTGAATCAATTGCGCATTGATCAGCCTGAAAATCCACAACAGCTTTGGCGTTTGGGTACACAGCAATCACTGAGAAGTCGAGCCTGTTTCCAGCGAGCACGTCACGAGTTCCTCAATGACTTAACGCAGGACGTCAGAGCTCTGATTCACCACAACAATTTCCGCAAATGTCGAGTTGCAGCATGATATTGGTCGCACAGGTTGATCATCGATTTTCTTGAAACTTGGCAGCGTAGTCATCAATTTCGTAGGCTGACTTGCAGATGTCGTAGCCTTTCCGCAGTATTCGTCAGCATCACTCTTGGTCCAGTTCCAGCTGATCATCTTTGACAAAAATCTTGGCTGACGTTGGCAAAATCTTCCCATCTCAGAAGGCGTTTGGAACGTGCAATCTCTGTCCCACTGGACGCCTGCGGTGCCTGCCCTGTCTGCCACTGTGAGTAATCCGGTGGCAGTACACCAACTGCCGCCGGGGGGCCATTCACCTGTCCCCATGAGACCGCTGCTGCGTTGCGCCAGTGCCTCTCGCCTTTTGCGTGTCCTGCAAGCCGCAATCCCGCGCAGCCTTCGAGGTCTCCACCCGACCCGTAGACCCACTGGCGAAGATCCGCCACCGATCGCTGCCATTGGTTGCTCCATCGATTGCCATCGGCGTTCGCAGCCCCCAGGCTTGGTTTTTACGCCGTAAAAACTGATCGTATTTACGTTTTTACGCGTAAAAACAGTTTTTACGCGTAAAAACAGTTTTTACGTTTTTACGAGTAAAAATGCGTAAAAATACGTAAATACAACGTAAAAACTACCCGGTGTACATAAGGACAGTACATGCAGACTTGCGGAGTCCGGAGACTGGCAGCCAGACCCCCTGGAAGGGGCAGAAAACGAGTCTTTGTTAAACACCATCATCGCCCTTGCCAAGGGCAAGTTGGACATTGTGTTGCGGGTGCTGGAGATGGCGAATGACTGATCATTGTAAGCAACTTTCCTCGTGCAACCTGGGTGTCCCAAGGAGCCGTAAAAACGTAAAAATAGCCGTAAAAATAGGCCCTTTTGCAAATTTACGTTTTTACGAGTAAAAACGTAAAAGTAAAAACGTAAACGTAAACGTAAAAACCAAGCCTGGCAGCCCCTCGATCCCGATCGCTGGAGCGAGCCAATCGATGCGCATTGCTGCGGCCGATCGGCGCAGATCCCTCCTCCTGGTAGTGCTGCGTTGTCGGACGCCGTTTTCGATTGAGGGCGCAGCTTCGTGAGCCAAACGCGTGCGCCCAGAGGGGTGGCGCAGCCCAGTGCGTCAGGTCGCTTCCTGGGATTCACGACCTCCATGGCGTCGGTATCGTGTCTCATATCTTTGCAGACTCGGGCGCACATCGAGATACTCATACGCCTCGTCGCATTGTCGTCTCTCCGTATTCTCGTTCTATGCTGCAGTTCGTCCCTTTGGAGGAGACTAAGCCCTTTTTCATACTTTATGTGGATTTTCGCCACTTCCTAGCCAACTTTTGAGGCTCACGGGTCGCCAATTTGGCATAAATTTTGCATCATATACGTTGGCGACCCGAACGCCTTGAAATGACATTGCCTTCCTGACATGTGCCAGCAAAGAGTAAGCAATGCCGGTTGTTGCCATCAGCTTCTCTGCCCCTGGCGATGGCTCCACTGCGTTCCGACTTGTTGACTGACGCCATGTAGTTCTTTTTCTAACAGCAAACCATTGTGAGCTTGTTTTGTACTGAACGCCACATGGAGTGGCGCTGCAGACTCTGCTCGTCTGGGTCTCTGTGCCGGACGCTGTTCTTGCTGTCTTGTTGGTTCGGTCGACATTAGTTTGTTCGAAATGATCATGCACAACATGGTGGAAGAAGTGCAATAAAGAGCGAAAGCCCCGTAAAGGAAGGAATGCTGGAAGATCTTGCCTGAATGCATGCGTACCTTGGGGATTTGATGAGTTCTTCGTACTCCGATTCTATTCGCTTTTTATCCGCTCTCAGAAGGTTGTTGATAATCTGCGTCGACGCGTTGTTTGCAATTGGTAAATCTTCACACACATGACGTAAGTATGCATAAATATGCGTCATCTGTGCATGGCACTGGGACTCCCGGCATCAAAGAGTCTCAGCAGTGACACCGGCGGTAGGCATGCAAGCACATGCTGTGCAGCTTGTGTCTGAGTAAAAGCAAGGAGGTGCGTAGATGCCTCTGTGTTGTCTGATATGTCCTCTAGGCTCCCAACATACTGCAGTACCTTCTCTGCAACAAGGACAGCATCATACAAAACAGTGATCAAGTAGCCTCCATTGCTGGCGAATACTGAGTTTTTGAATAACGTTTCACACACTGTAAATGCGCACATTTCGAAACTGTTTTGCTGGCGAGTCCCAGGCTGGAACTTTCAGGGCCATCGAGGCACATCCTGGTGACCAGCAGTACATTAAACGGACAAAATCCAAAAGCACGAGCTAAACAGTCCTGCGTGTTGGAAACAAATTGCATGCATCGCCTGGCAGGGGTAGGGGCGGTGTTCTGTCAGCGCTTGTCAGCGACTCGCCAAATTTCACCATCAAAGCAGATTAACACAGCAAAACTAGACTGAGATGGTATTCCTATGTTTGGTTTGCAGCAACATAAAGCATTTCACATATTGCATCACTAACTCAGTAATGGAAACACGGAACTTTGTGTGCTCAATTTGTTTGAGCGTTCGCAAGAAGATCTCCCTCAACAGGCTGAAGACCGCGGCCCTTGGTGGTGCATCATCGCAGTCGACAACGAGTGTGATCAGCGTTGACTCCGTCAAATGCCCATCATGGAATGCACCCAGCTTGTTGTTGCCGCAGCACGGACCTCAAATCTCTGGGGCCTTGTCCATTTAGCATCACGTGAATACGGCGCTCAGTAATTACTTTTTGGGTGAGGGCTTACAGCCCACCATCGTTGTGACGACAAGGAAGAAGTTATTAAGTGGTGATGTGATACATAGCGTTTTATGGTGAAAATGTGTGCGACGAATGTGTGTTATGTTATGGAGAATGTATGTGGGGATCATGGAGACGGGAGGTGAATGTGTTTGCAGTGTGAATAATTAGCTTGTACGTTCACCCTGTAATGCATCTGGTTGCGGCTTCGCTCCCCGTGCATAGGAGCGACTGCGTGAGGAGCCTCGGTTTTCGTCTCAATCATAATGC